GGGTGGGTTTGGGGGTTTGTATGGCGCGGCCCTTTCTAGCATTTAAAGATATGTCATTCACGTTAAGATTAAAATATTTATAAAAGATAATTCTCTCATGACATAATCTTAAAAAATTATTAAAATACGAACTCAACAATGCTATGTACACCAAATGGATGTTAGCCATCGAATAATACTGGGACCCACCAATCAGACGGCTCACATTAATTTGATATAAAATTTTGGTGCCCATAGTATTTTTGTTTTCTAGTTGCCTCCATTCCTTTCATAGTATGAGTTAACTTACCCATACAAGGCTAACATCTCAACTATCCTTCATTGACCAATTGGCCTTGGGTGGTTCAGGGCCAATGATTGACATGAAGGATGAGGATGGAGATAAAAGTTCTTAGTAGGAAAATTAACAATACTGTTTTAACAACATAAATTTCATACATAATTTTGTATGCAGAATTATGTGTCTCAATAGCATTCTTTTATTTCAACACACTTACAAGTACTACCAAGATATTCCTAGAAAACGCTATGACAAATCATTATGTATGAAAATTTTTTGGTAGAAACGTTGTTTGTTAAGTATTTTTCCTATTGTCGAAGAAGTTTTTGTCGTGACAAAGATGGCCTAGGCACAGATCTAACATTTCATATTGGTTATACAAAATTGCTATCCTCATATTCGAACTCGCATCCAATTTGATACAAGATAAGTGAAGAAATTATACACTACAAACTATATTTTTACATATTTCCATCACAATCATTTTGCTCTTACATGGAATACCTCTCTAGTCATGGACAGTTGAGTGTGAAATAACATAAAAGTTGAATACATGACTGGAGCTTTATCACGGTGTCTTGTAGTGATATGTACAATTTTTTGGTCATGACTGACCAATTCAGACAACAAATTTTCAACAAAGAGGGTGTGGGATCATGAAGTTGTTTATATGTCTGAAGTACTTGTTTCTGTCTTGGCCCCTGGTTTTGAATCTAAAATGTCGGTCCACACTTAATTTTTAAAAGTAAATAAAGTTAGTAATTATGATATTCGAGAGTGCTAAAAGTTGTACTGAATAAAAAAGTAACCTGCCAGAACGTGGCACCTATTATCCCGTTCCATCAGAAGAGTGATGACTGCACGAGGAATGGTGTCTGGAATGAGGGCATGCTCGGTCCGGCAGAGGTACCCCGGGTGACTCGGCACTTTTGGTTTGGTGTAACTCAGTTTTGAGGATAATGGCACTAGGGAAACAATGATGACAAGAGCCGAGGAGACACCCTCGACTTATGACTGTGTATAGACTCACCCATCGACATGATCTTGAGAGATGTCTATCGGGGAGTAATTGAAAAAATGTCTGCTAAAGATTCGTATTCAAATGAACAACAAGCGCGATTTTGTCTCTCAGATAGTCAGAACGATCAGAAAAATACACTGCAATCAATCATGAGAAGTGTTTATTAAATGCTCGGCCCCAAGGCTTCAATAATCAATAAATGGTCCTTATAAACACGTGTCTGTATCTGAAAAACAATTAACTCTTAGAGAGGCAAGGCAAATGGCACTGAATGCACAATAAGTGGTCGGTGTCAATCAAGAGACCGAGCATTTAATATCATTAATGCAGCCTCATATGCTCATGCATGCAAAATGTCAAGGATCAAGATGAAGCACGTGCTCTGTTCGAGGCCCGCCCATCTGATCAAGTCAAAGGGAGATTCTAGTCGTCTTTGGTATGGACCAATCAGAAGCCTTTCGTGTGAGCTGGATGACCTGGTATAACTCATAAACTCTCCTAGAAGATATAAATAGTAGACTAATCCAAGAAGCAAAGGTACGCAACTTGAACCCAACAATAATCTCATATCTCATGTCCCTCCTCAAAAACTGACTTTCACATTGGAGGGATAACTCCAGAGACACCTCCGGCATCCCTTCTAACGTTTCTTTGTGAGTGTCAAAGTTGCTTATTCCGAGTGTTCAAGGTCTAAGTTCGAGCGCCAACCCAAGTGATGCTATCTCTAAGTGTTGTGCGAGAAATCTCCCACACATAACCCTTGTTACTATTTACATAGAGTGACTGCATTATACTCAAAGTTCTGTTACACAATTGGCAGCCCGAGATTAATATGAATAGTTGAAAACATAAAAAAATTTCAACGGTCTTACAATGTACTTTTTCTTTTGTCTGTGGTACAGTAACTTCACAAATTACATACAAATGCAAATTGCTTTAATCTTGATGTTTTTATTTCAAGGTTAGTGTTTCTTTTGTAACCTCTAGTATTTCGTTGTAACCTGTTCTTCTCTCACCCTTCTATTTTTTTTTCAAATATTTAAAAGGCTGCACTCATATATTAATTCCTGAATCCGTCTTTGATCACTCTAGATGCTTGTAGTCGTAACCTTACTTATTGACATTACTTTGCCATTTTTTTTTTGTTTAAACAAGAAAATATAATTGTGTATCATTATACTTTATACGTTACAACATTTTAAAGACAATATCGTGATGGGTGCTCCCATTTTAATATAATAAAGTTCACATAATTGGATTTTAAGTCAAAGAATACTGTTGGATTACACAAAAAATTTGTAAGATCAAATCAGATATACTGTTGGATTTTCTCCAGAGCCTGGTGTTTGATTATGACACTAATTACAAGTTAATGATTTATTTTGTCACTCTCTTTGTCTGATTATCAATGCCTCGTTTGCTTGTTCCTATCACAAGATGATACTAAAGCTCTTATTTTCTGTTGAGTAATAGTTCAAGCAAGTTAAATCAGCCCCCCTCAAAAGTTTGATGCAAATAAATGAATTTTCTGTCTACGACTTTAAGTCATATATCCACGTCTAATTATTGTCATTGAGAGGCTAAATTTACACTTAGAATAATTGCAATTCTTTTACAACTGGTTTCTCTGTCACCTGCTTAGATGTTTGAAGCAGTCACACTAATTAGTACATAACATGATATACTTTAAGTGTTGAGGAGTTTAAGTTTGTAAGTGTCGGTTATGGTTATCCACATTGAGTGATGTATTGACAAAATGAGATTAAGGGCCATCTCTCTCTCTCTCTCTCTCTCTCTCTCTCTCTCTCTCTCTCACACGCACACACACACACACACAGAGCTAGATTAACACCTCATCAATGGGTTTGTAATGATTCAAATTATTTTTTGGGAAAATTGCAAGTTTTCTTTTTTCATTTAGATGACTTCACTCCATATATATTTAACTCCTTTCCTTGATTTCTCTTCTGGTTGAGCACTTAAACCTAAAAGGGTTGATACTTAGCTTAGTCCCTATTATCGAGCGTGTTGGATGGGACAGGCTGAATACATACCTAACCTGTATTATTATTCGAACTCCAACTTGTTCAGTTTCAAGTTGTTTGATAAGAGTGTAAACTCGATAATCCAGCTTGGCTTATGTACCTAATATTGCAAAAATTGGCCAAGTCACCAATAAGATCAATTGAAGCTATGGTCTGGCTCACCCCCTAACAAGTTCAATAAGACCAAAGTGTTAACCTAAGATTCTAGCTTACTAGGAATTGCCTTCCTCCATGTGAGCTCTAAAAATGCAGACAAATCTATTGAAGAAAGCTCTGTATTCCAACCGCAAAAGGCACAAAAGCAAAGAATGGTCAAGCATGTGGGGTTTCTCAGCTTGAAGCACCTCATACACCATTTCTAAATTTGTGGTCACATAATGTTAAGTCATTTTCCAGCTTCATGACATGTGAATTTTTGTCTACTAGGCGACCAACAGTTCCACTGGCCACAACAGCAGCTCCCTATTCTTGTCCCTGGAGGGTCACAAACTTAGTCCACAAACCTATATCCTGGCATCTTGTGAATGGGGCTGCCAAGTTTACGAGGGTCCCTATCATTGCAAGGGTTCAATGTATGAAATCTTATCTTTCGTAAATCGATCCCTTTGTCTGTGCGCCAAGGGCGCACCCTCATCATTGCATCTTGTGCATGTAGACAGTTTTCTTGTCATGAATGGCTGAAATTTGTTACCCAAGAGAGAGAAAAATGTTTTCAAATCAGTATGGGAGAGTTTTTTTTTGGCTTTTTCTTTGTTTTGTGTAATGGGGGTTTATGAGTTTATGAGCACATTCTATTTTTCTAACAATTTGTTTACAGGCTTCTTCTGTATAATTATTGTATTCATGGGTTTTAGCTATAGATCCATTGTTCAGAGCTCAATGATTTCTCACATGGGGTCTTGTTTGGTTCCTCCCTCATCATATGGAAGTTTGTTAGTAATATAATGGTGGGTTTTGAAGTTTGTATTTAATGTCCTTCACATGGCATCCACATGCATTCTTTTGAACTTCCCTTTTCTTTTAACAATTGATTCTTCCCTCCCAATCCAAAAACAGTTCCTTATTCCCCCAGCAATCAATCATCAGATATTTTGACCTCATCAGCCGGCCAGTCCATGAGGCTCCCGCTACAGCGACTCTAGAGATGGTTAAATATACGCAACATTATATCAACATGCAAAGAGACTATTTTTACAACTCGACCTTTGCATATATATATATATTGAACTCNTAACAATTTGTTTACAGGCTTCTTCTGTATAATTATTGTATACATGGGTTTTAGCTATAGATCCATTGTTCAGAGCTCAACGATTTCTCACATGGGGTCTTGTTTGGTTCCTCCCTCATCATATGGAAGTTTGTTAGTAATATAATGGTGGGTTTTGAAGTTTGTATTTAATGTCCTTCACATGGCATCCACATGCATTCTTTTGAACTTCCCTTTTCTTTTAACAATTGATTCTTCCCTCCCAATCCAAAAACAGTTCCTTATTCCCCCAGCAATCAATCATCAGATATTTTGACCTCATCAGCCACAGCGACTCTGGAGATGGTTAAATATACGCAACATTATATCAACATGCAAAGAGACTATTTTTACAACTCGACCTTTGCATATATATATATTGAACCCAAAGAATATAATGCAAATGATATGAAAAACTCAGATAAAACTTATGATCAAATCCTGCACTCATTGCTAGACTGCAAGCATAAATGATGAAAGGTCTGGTTGATTATCATGTTCCATCTTCTTATTATCATAGGTGTAGCCAAACAGCAATGAATAATTCAATATCAAACACATGTGAATTGGTAGCCTGTAAACTTAGTATAACTAGCAGAATATAAGGGTTGGTGGTTCAATAACCATTTCAACTTCCAACTTGTCCCATTTGACAGCTACTAGGCTGTTGGCCTTGTTGTCTGAATAATGAAGAATCTAAACTTGCAGCAGTCAATGACTTATCCGAAAAACTGATGGAGCAAATCAATATACTTTTTTTCCTATCTGCATATATCAGAAGCTGCAGAAAAGAGGTACGAACAAAAGGAAGAAAGCAACAATTTCTTTTCAAACTTTGGGGCAGAAGTGAGGCATTGAATACAACATTATCTAGGACTATGGTCCTATCCCAGTGGGTGACATGAAGGTCTCAAGTTCAACTCCCTCTCCCCAACATGAAGGAGATGTAAGGGTGCCCTTATGGGCATTAGATTATTTGACACCAGGTTCCAAAGAGGGATTGCATGGTTACCACTAGGGCTAACCCCAAATTCCCCCCCCCCCCCTTCTCTCTCGTGAGTAAATATTTAATGGTTACACTACGTCATCACCGTCACGTGATATAAACCGATTAATAATAAACAAACAAATAAGACAATTGAACCCCACTAATCTCACATGTTAGTTATTGAATGTGAAAGTTAATAGTTGTTATAAAATTTGGTGAGATTCACTAGTCTTGCATGTTTATATACAACTGGTTGGTGGCACCATATGACGGTAATGACATAATGTCACCATTACATCTAATATTTTCTTTTCTTTGGTGGTGTTTGGGGGTAGCACCCAATCAGAATTCAACCCAAATCTATAGGGCAACTTCATTAAATCAACTTCTCTTTTTTACAGGTTAAACCTATCCCATTCATTCTCTCTAATTGGTTAAGCTGATCTGATCCATTTGTCTTTTGTGGACCTATTTCAATTTTTGAAGTGGAAGGGTTACTCAGATGTGGCTAAACACGCATTAGAGAAATCACATAAACCATCATGTGAACTATATAGTCCTTTCGCCATGTGACAGGTCCTTGGTCTTTATAGCGTTTTTATATGATAGGGTGGGCTCAACTTGGTCACTATGTAGGCCTGTTAATTGAGTCTGTTGAGGCAAGTTCGTATCAAGTCTTAGTAACGAGTTTATGTCGAGTTTTAGTAAATTTGTATCAAAAAAATATTTCACTTATACTCAATTCGTTTATTAATTCAAGTCTAACGAATTATAACNATATAGTCCTTTCGCCATGTGACAGGTCCTTGGTCTTTATAGCGTTTTTATATGATGGGGTGGGCTCAACTTGGTCACTATGTAGGCCTGTTAATTGTGTCTGTTGAGCCTGTTAATTGTGTCTGTTGAGGCAAGTTCGTATCAAGTCTTAGTAACGAGTTTATGTCGAGTTTTAGTAAATTTGTGTCAAAAAAATATTTCACTTATACTCAATTCGTTTATTAATTCAAGTCTAACGAATTATAACATATCGAATTCGTGTATAACTATTATATAAATAAGTCGTGTCATGTATTTCTTTTGATTGACTTCATTCATACCCGATATGTTTAGTAATTATATCATCGTCAAGGCTACTCATTTATAAAACAAACGACTTAAAGAAGATTCAAACCTTATAATTTTGTATCGTGCTCATGTTANAATAAGTCGTGTCATGTATTTCTTTTGATTGACTTCATTCATACCCGATATGTTTATTAATTATATCTGGTCAAGTCCACTCATTTATAAAACAAACGACTTAAAGAAGATCCAAACCTTATAATTTTGTATCGTGCTCATGTTATGCAAACGAGTCGTGTAATATTTTAACACCCTATCACCAAGCCCCTAATTTCTCTTTTTCTTTTTCTTTTTTTCTGGGTAAGGCTTGAAATTGAACCACATCATCCTTAGGGCTGATAATATTGTCAAACAGAGCATTATGCAAAACTCATAAGCTTTTGATATTAAGGTAATGGTTGTTTCCCATGGGGATACATAACACTTACTAAAATTTGCATTGACAACTCATATGCAAGCCTTCTACTTACAATTTCATACAACTCACCAATTTCCAGAATTGTAGAAGCAATGATTAGTATTATTCTAAAACACTACAAAATGGCCGGGTCAACATTGATATTTGCATCTCTCTCTCTCTCTCTCTCTCTCTCTCTCTCTCTCTCTCTCCCCCCAACACCCAAACCCAACAGTGTAATTATTTCAAAAATTTACATCCAGGTTGAAGACCTGAACCAGTAAGCACATTATCAAAAGCTGTTTTACCTACATATGTAACACGGAATCCAAATCAATTAGACTTCATCTCAAGATCATCACTCTCTAACTTCGCACTAGAGTTATCTTCAGGGAGGAGGCCAAGAAGTGGTAGAGGTAACAAGGAGCTGAGACTGCAGAGGACTATCAGAAAGGCTAAGTTATCAAATTTGTCCTTGGTAACACCAAAGAGCTGGGTCAGACCAGCACCAATCAGCCCCCCAAGGACACTCCCTCCGTTAGATATAGACATGAGGGTCGCAAAAAGGGTTGCTTCCATTCCCTGTGGACAAATTCTCGCTGCTAACACAAGAACAGGCAGGAAAGAGGCCTGCAAATGAAAGTAATAACTGATACTGCACTAGAATTACCAGCATGATCTATACTGCATAAAACAATCAAAAGTCAGACCAATTATATCACGGACTGAGATAAATTACCTGACTGAGAACCGTTATAATCAAAGAATCCCCAACTGCAAACCACTCATCACTTATGCCAAACTGCCGATTTAGTCCAGTAACGAGGAAAACCTGTGCACGTGTAAAATTTCTTTCAGAACTATAAACCACAAGAACATTTAGAATAACCATTAACTTTGGGTATCTCATAACACAAACCTGGGTCATTCCCAGAGCCGCACCAATAACAGTTGTTACTAGAAATATCTTCCGCAGAGGAACATTTTTTAAGAAACCATTATAAATTCCAACACCAAGAAGTGAGGCAACTGAAGTCACAAGCTTAACGCGTCCTAGAAATTCTGGGGTGAAACCAAGTTTATTTGTGCTGGAATCAAGAATAATCTTTTGTTACCAATTGCAAGTAGATAGTATTTAACAAACAAATAGAGTTTCAAATCATTCTCTGATCAAAATGCAGAAAATAAAGAACAAAAGGACCAAACATACGTAAAGAAAAACATGGCTGAATCTGACTGTGGTGTTGCCTGCCACAAAAATATAAATAAAGTGGGAAGGAAAACATTGGGCTGCCTAACAGCATCCCACAACTGAACAATACTATGTTTCGAGCTCTCAAAGAAGCCAGGACTGGTCAAAGATAGATTCTGTCCCCTTTCTGGGCCAAGCATGGGCTGCTCTTTCACAAGCATAGCAACAGCAGAAGTCATCAATGGAAGCAATGCTGTGACACCAAAAACAAACCTGAAATAGTGATGTATTGCGTTTAGAATAAATGACCAGGAATAGTACAAAATTCAACTCAAACACAGTTCAGGTAGCCTACCTTACACCATAAGCATCCACCAGGGAGCCACTAAAGTAGGAACTTACAATTCCCCCAAAAGCCGAGGAACCCCAACACAAAGACTGAAGAGATCCTGACATGCTTTGAGACTCACCACGAGCTCTCTCCACAACCATGGAATCTACAACCTACACAATGTTTCAGTTTTATCATGCTGGTTAAGGATGCCCCAAAGATGAAGGAAACGAACACCACAGACGGACTACATCAACACTTGCAAATGCACACATATAAAAGAACTGAGATAATTTAGTTTAGCTTCTAAATTTAGAGATGAAGGTTGAGTAACTGAGATCTATACTTCTATATGGAAGAGTTGATCCTACAACAAGCTGCTTCATACTTTTAATAACAAGAGTACGAAAGACAATAAGGAAATTCACCGCAGTACTCTCTAAGGTAAGAAGCATGGAGATATACCCAGGAGTACATGTTGACATGAAAAATCAAAAAAAGTATGGCACGGACATGGCAACACGTATGCTATTGAGTTCATCTGTGTGAAATTACGTAATATACAAGGTAAGCCTTACATTTATTGTGTAAAAAGGAATTCTAACCTAAATATCATAATAGCCAACATTCACACGTCACATACACAAAGAATAAGAAAAATACGTAAGGTTTATAAATTCCTATCATCATGCTATGCTTCCTCCTTTAGTTAGATCTTACAGTCATATTTTTGCCTTGAAGTACTTGCTAATACATATTAGGAAAAATATAAGGACACCCCCAACATTGGACAAAACAAGCCAGTAACTCCCTAATAGTTGACAGATCAACAAAGCCACCTCCTGCATATTTAATAATCGCATGACTCATTAGTTTTGAGAAGTTATATAAGCTAGACCCTCACCAACGCCTGAAAAGATGACATTCAGTAAAGGCTGCATACTATCAAGTTAATTTTTTTAGGGTGGGCACTTAATTTTTTTTTTCTACTCAATAAAATTAAGATGATACACTAATTATATACATCATATTTGACAATTAAAAATTCCCTAAACCAAAAACAATTTTTTAAATCCAAATAAATTTGAAATTACAAGTTGTGACTTGTGATTATTTTATAGACTATAATATGATCGTGTATTTTATTATATAATAATCCTAATTTGTACAAAATATCAAAATAACCTCAATATACGTCCAAATTTATCCAGATGTGTCCGTAATGTGTTTGAAGTGTGTCCAAAATTCATAGTCATTTGGATATCTATACCAATTACCAAATAAGATGACAACAAAATAATATAGGTACGCAAATCAAAAAATACAAAAAAAAAATTGGAATTATATGGAGGTAATTTTTGGGCAAAAAAAATTCATGGTGGCCTAACCTAGCTCCGCCCATGAAGTTAAAGCTCAAGAAGGATGCAACATGCCCTTCAATGTGATTGGCTGTGACACTAAGGTTTAATAATTCATGTAAATAGATTTCATTCTGAAGATAATGATCAGTTTTCTAACTGCTAGTAGCTGACCATTGATAGCTGTTAAATATTCTTGTACAGAGGAAATGCCATTTGGAATGAGAAACCGACAAACAATATTTACCGCATATGGGCATAGTGTAGATCCAACAGATGACAATCATCACAATGTACAATATCCTTCATCTAGTTCTTCTGTTTTTCTGATGATCGAAATGTTATGATATTTTTTGGGGGGTCAAACACCACCAACATAGAGATCAATTGAATGTGTATAGTGTATAATACAATACAATCCACTTCAAATATGGGAAGTGCACATGGATTAGAAGGCAAGTACATATGCATTATCCAGTTCCACTATGCCCATCGCAAAAAAAAAAAAAAAATGTTCCCTGTTTAACAGCCAATAATTAAGGAAGTACAAATGAGATCCAACTAAATTACTTTGGTCCCATAAGAAAAATCAACACTAAACTTGGGAAAACAAAATAATGAAGCTAAGACAAATGACACTCCCTTATTTGTGCAATAAATGACCTAGCCCATTGCAAATTGACCCATTCAATGGGCCAATTTAATTTTGAAAAGACAATGAAACAAACAACATAGTTGAACTACATGAACAAATAAAGCAATTATTCAAAACTGGTGTACACTTCATGACTTCATAGTTCATACAATATTTTCAAAATCACAAGCCTGACATAAATTGCATTCCATTTGGGCTAAACACATGCCAACAAACTTAGAAACATGTGTAGCTTCCATAATATCAAATGTTAGCAATAGTGACCATGTGTAAGCATGTAAATTGACCTGTACATTGAGATACTTACTACATCTGAGAAGGCAACAGAAAGGGATCCAATAAGTATACAAAAAGCAACACCATACTTGCTGTCAACAAAAGTGGCCATCAAACTCCACGAGAGCGCTCCAAGAAGCCCTGATAGAACCAAGTATGATCTTCTTCGGTACCCAAAAAGTGGGAAGGAGTCACTACAGTGGCAAAAGTATAGTTAGAAAGAGACAGAGCAACGAAAGGGAAAGCAATACGAGGATAGATACATGTTTGCCAAATCAAACCGCACCTGATAAAACCGTAGAGAGGCTTGATAAGCCACGGTAATGCTGAAAAACCGGATATCACAGCTGTCTAGTCAACCATGTGTAACATGTCAGTCCTATTTGGTCAAAACCAGAAAAATTGTCTACTAATACAAAAAAAGGAGGACTTCAATACTTCATCCTCAACTGAAAAGCAACAATCTTACATAAAGTTCTGTCGTTTCTTATCTTTATATTCTGAAACTTCTAAATAAATGCAAGAACTTAAATAACATTTAAGTAAGAGTAAAATCAAAAGAACATAGTAGACGAGAAGGATGGCACAATCAACTAGTTGATCTATCAGTGTGAAAGATGTATACAGGTATAAGCTAAACGCGAAGTGAATATATCAATTGGACCACAATCTATTGACTTTTCAATAAGGAGATAGCATACCTCCGCAGGATCCAGATGCAAATCATCTTTTAAGTAAAAACTGACAGCAAGCCTAGAAAGGCCTAAAACACCTTGGACGAAATACACCATTGCAACTGCAATGGTATCTGGGGTTAGGTCCACGCCAAAGCATTTGATGGAGTTTAAAGAATATCTATTCTTGTGAGTTTTACTCGAAGAGCATGTCTCTTGTTGAACATTGGTTGTCAGCATATCCTCCTTTCCTGCCCCTGAATCAGGAATGAATATTCAGAGTGTGTGTGTGTGTGAGAGAGAGAGAGAGAGAGAGAGAGATCATCCACAAATAGTGGTTCACAGAAGGCAACACTTGCATTGGCTTGTTAATGTCTTTATAAAAGTCCCTCTATTTACTGATACCCATGGAAAACAAAATCCTAAATTACTGGATCATAAGCCTGTTTTCATAGTCCATTCTCATAAACTTTTTCACAACAAAACTCCCTCCAATCATATGCTCAAGTTCTCAAAATGAATTTAAGAGTAGCCGAGTTCTATAATTATGTGATCATTGAAGCCCTTTGGTGATGCGAACATGTGTGAAGCACTATTAGTACATTTAGGTTAGACTCTGCTATTGAACTGGTGCCAAAACGCTTCCCTGGCCTGTGAGCTAATCCATATTAATGTTTGATCATTCCAAGATAGCATCTAAATCCCAAATATACTAACCCATCAAACAGGTTGAGTGATCAATGGATCGCACACTTGCCCTATGACACTGAAAACCACAGTGCAACAACCATTATTAAGCAAGTTTTCAGTGCAATCGGGACACTTTTTCATTTTTTCCCTTAATGGATTATAAAGGNGAGAGAGAGAGAGAGAGAGAGAGAGATCATCCACAAATAGTGGTTCACAGAAGGCAACACTTGCATTGGCTTGTTAATGTCTTTATAAAAGTCCCTCTATTTACTGATACCCATGGAAAACAAAATCCTAAATTACTGGATCATAAGCCTGTTTTCATAGTCCATTCTCATAAACTTTTTCACAACAAAACTCCCTCCAATCATATGCTCAAGTTCTCAAAATGAATTTAAGAGTAGCCGAGTTCTATAATTATGTGATCATTGAAGCCCTTTGGTGATGCGAACATGTGTGAAGCACTATTAGTACATTTAGGTTAGACTCTGCTATTGAACTGGTGCCAAAACGCTTCCCTGGCCTGTGAGCTAATCCATATTAATGTTTGATCATTCCAAGATAGCATCTAAATCCCAAATATACTAACCCATCAAACAGGTTGAGTGATCAATGGATCGCACACTTGCCCTATGACACTGAAAACCACAGTGCAACAACCATTATTAAGCAAGTTTTCAGTGCAATCGGGACACCTTTTCATTTTTTCCCTTAATGGATTATAAAGGCGAAACATGAGGCATTAATGAGCTCTGGGAATAAAACATGCATAAATGGTAACGACATCTGTACCAACAAAACAAGTTCCTCAGAGCCAGTTTCAGTGAAAGCATTAGTTCTGATCACTATGACCTTCAGGCCAACGTTCTTCAAGTCCATAATTGATGGCACATACTCAATTTAACATACCCAAATTTTCCTTTTAATTCGAATGACTAGTTCAATCTGATACCAGGCATCATTTTATTTGAAACAGAATTCATTGCACCCATTCAAAACTCCATACCATATCTTTTAACGGACCCATCTTAGAAAAACATTTTGCAAGCCCCAAAACTCACTTGTACAAATATCATCTGCATCATTCTCAAAAGCAATCTCCTGTTTCATCACCCAATTATAAAAGAATCTTAGTCTACGTCACCCCATCAGCCCGAAGGGCACAGACCCCAATTAGGTGATTACTGCACTAAGCAGGTTTGTAGCCCATTCGCTCTCATCTAATATTAACTTTATCCACATATCACTAGACCAACTATTAACTTGTTTATTTACCATCGAATCGAGCTAAAAAAACGTATTTTTGANTTCTCAAAAGCAATCTCCTGTTTCATCACCCAATTATAAAAGAATCTTAGTCTACGTCACCCCATCAGCCCGAAGGGCACAGACCCCAATTAGGTGATTACTGCACTAAGCAGGTTTGTAGCCCATTCTCTCTCATCTAATATTAACTTTATCCACATATCAGTAGACCAACTATTAACTTGTTTATTTACCATCGAATCGAGCTAAAAAAACGTATTTTTCATACATAACCACCCTGCACGAGCCAACACTAGGTAATGGCTCTTTACCAACTTAGACAATCACTCTTCAAGCATTTCAATTTTCCTAAACGTGGGGTGGAAGATGAAATTCATTGTGTCTGTACGATTCGAATACGCAGAAGAATCACATTCACATGTTTCAATACAGATAAGTTTATGTATACGGAGAATTAGGAAAAGTCCCAACTTACGATTTCTAGAATCCAAAAATGGTTCGTTCTCCGAGTTACGCAGGAGGGGCGTCGCAGTCATCGGAACGGTAGCGGACATGTCGTCTTCCGTCTGCTTGCAAAGAGTTTTCAGGCGGGTGGTTTCGCGAACGCCGGCGATGAGAATGGATGGTTTCCGGGGAATCCGAGACAGGATAGAGGAGAGGGAGGGGAAGGACAAAATGGGGTTTTGGAAGGGTAAGGTTGGGAATGAAATTGAAGGTAATGCAGCCATTATTTAATGTGTTTTTGTGAGTTCGTACACTGCTTGGTTTTTAGATACGTTTGGGGACTATTTGAAGGACGAATTGGCTAAGTAATCCATCCGATGGATGTTTTTTTGGGTAACGCTCTGTCCGGACGAAAAGAAGCGTGTTTATATCGGTTAGACTCGTAAGTCTTAATGGAATCGAAGATAAATTTTAAGTACATGTGAATAAATTAATTTGTCAATCGATAAAATTAGGATTTGTGTTTTAATGAGTATTCAAACTCATACCAAGTGTATGTAAGAATGATAAGTGGGCTGGATTGAGACTAATTCAGAGGTTCTGGATCTCTTCCAAAGAATCAGGCACAAATGGGTACACATATTTGATTTCAAGGAAAATTGAAATAGGTACATAAAATTAGATTTAATTATAAAAAAATAAATAGAAAAAAATGTTGGGTAATTAAATTTTTAATTTTGATATTTATTTGTATTTAAGTACATTATTTGAATTTTAATAATTTTTTTTGTGATATTTTTGTCTTTCATTGATCCATGTATATTTTCTTTAGAAAGTGATACATTAAACAACTCCTAATTTTATGAGAGAACTTCAATATTCCATATTTGTATGTCCTCCCTGGATTCATGCATNTTGATATTTATTTGTATTTAAGTACATTATTTGAATTTTAATAATTTTTTTTGTGACATTTTTGGTCTTTCATTGATCCATGTATATTTTCTTTAGAAAGTGATGCATTAAACAACTCCTAATTTTATGAGAGAACTTCAATATTTCATATTTGTATGTCCTCCCTGGATTCATGCATTTTTTTTTTTTTGAAAGTGATTTTGTTTTCAAATTATATTTAATGCACTTTGATTCATACGTATATTTTTTTGGGAAAGTGATTTTGTTTTCAAATTATATTAATATCTTAACAATGTAAAAAATAGCAGTGTAACAAGTCTTTTACACAAAATATTATATTATTATATTTTGTCAAACATATATTTTTATATAATTTCATTCAAAACAGTTCATCTACGTTTTGCATTTGTTACCGCATGCACAAAACTACTGAACGCTGTNATAGCAGTGTAACAAGTCTTTTACACAAAATATTATATTATTATATTTTGTCAAACATATATTTTCATATAATTTCATTCAAAACAGTTCATCTACGTTTTGCATTTGTTACCACATGCACAAAACTACTGAACACTATTTTTGTTATAGTGTATTAATACACTGTCTTTGTTACAGTATATTTGTTATACTGTTTTTGTTACACTATTATGGAGTTCAAATATTAACAAATTTTGAAATTCAAACAAATAATATATTTTAAAATAAACGAAATATTAAAATTCTCCTCTNACTACTGAACACTATTTTTGTTATAGTGTATTAATACACTGTCTTTGTTACAGTATATTTGTTATACTGTTTTTGTTACACTATTATGAAGTTCAAATATTAACAAATTTTGAAATTCAAACAAATAATATATTTTAAAATAAACAAAATATTAAAATTCTCCTATAAAACTACTAGTAGTAAATATTTAATGCATAAATATAATTTGAAAATAAAAACTACTTTAAAAAAAATACGCATGAATCAAGGTGCATTAAAGATAAGAAATTTGGAATTAAATGACCTGAAATTTCAGCGCTTAATAAATGTCTTATTAAAGTTTTTAGGAAAGAAATTTTACAAAATGATCATTTACATCTTTGTATTTCAGCTGTGTACTTTTTTTCAAAATATTTTGTTCTATGTATTTTTTTATAATTATGTTTAATTTAGTGTACCGACTTTCAAATGACTCATTTATCAAATAGATANTTCAGCGCTTAATAAATGTCTTATTAAAGTTTTTAGGAAAGAAATTTTACAAAATGGTCATTTACATCTTTGTATTTCAACTGTGTACTTTTTTTCAAAATATTTTGTTCTATGTATTTTTTTATAATTATGTCTAATTTAGTGTACCGACTTCCTCATTTATCAAATAGATACTTGGAAAAGAATTTGGGCCTTCTTCAAGCCCAATATTAAAGGATCTAGAGTAAGTATGCCATGGGATCCTAAACATGGGCGGAGGCTCTACCAGTTGGATTGTTATTTCTATATCTTTTGCCTTTGCACCTGCTTAACTTAGAAAACCAAAGGTCGTCAATGGGGGTATTGAGCTATAATCAAGCCCAGTCAAATCCAATCCAGTGAGATCCAGTCCTATGGCGTCTAATTTAACAAACAAATATGATTTTTTTATGATGAGGAATCTCTTCAAAGTTCCTTTGGGTATAATAGNCAAGCCCAATATTAAAGGATCTAGAGTAAGTATGCCATGGGATCCTAAACATGGGCCGAGGCTCTACCAGTTGGATTGTTATTTCTATATCTTTTGCCTTTGCACCTGCTTAACTTAGAAAACCAAAGGCCTTCAATGGGGGTATTGAGCTATAATCAAGCCCAGTCAAATCCAATGAGATCCAGTCCTATGGCGTCTAATTTAACAAACAAATGTGATTTTTTTATGATGAGGAATCTCTTCAAAGTTCCTTTGGGTATAAGTGTCTTAGATGTGTAAATTCTAGAAATCTACAATTACTCCAAGTTAACTCCATATCATTGGACTGTCCGGATAGAACGTTACAGAGTTGATAACTACTTGGATCGTGTCACGAGAAATTTATTTTTTATGATTATTGAATATCTTATTTTCGACGTGAATGACTTTCATTTAACCATAATAAAGAGAAAATTAGTCGAAATACGCATAAATTAAATTAGACACCCTGACCATTGATCCCAAAAAAAAAAAAAAAAATCAAGATTTGACTCTTACTGCACTAAACTGTATTGCTAGCCTTTGTTCCCTTTCTGTAACTTTTTCTTTTTTTCCCGCTAGTACCTCTTCACATACAACTTCATGGGTCATTTTGAAAACCAATTTTTGTTAATGAATTCAACCGCAATGATCCAATTCAAATTCAAATATAACTAACTAGTAACCTTAGAGATAGTCGGTGGTTGAGCCTGTTATTTAATAATTTAAAGGTCTTAAGTTTAAGTTTTTTCATACCTATTAAAAACTAATCACTCTTATATCTTTGGGGACATACTCTAAATTAGTTCAAGTCACAGTACACATCCATTGAGGTTAAGGGAACGGTCAACACAAACATAAACACCGTATAACAAATTNTTTTATGATGAGGAATCTCTTCAAAGTTCCTTTGGGTATAAGTGTCTTAGATGTGTAAATTCTAGAAATCTACAATTACTCCAAGTTAACTCCATATCATTGGACTGTCCGGATAGAACGTTACAGAGTTGATAACTACTTGGATCGTGTCACGAGAAATTTATTTTTTATGATTATTGAATATCTTATTTTCGACGTGAATGACTTTCATTTAACCATAATAAAGAGAAAATTAGTCGAAATACGCATAAATTAAATTAGACACCCTGACCATTGATCCCAAAAAAAAAAAAAAAAATCAAGATTTGACTATTACTGCACTAAACTGTATTGCTAGCCTTTGTTCCCTTTCTGTAACTTTTTCTTTTTTTCCCGCTAGTACCTCTTCACATACAACTTCATGGGTCATTTTGAAAACCAATTTTTGTTAATGAATTCAACCGCAATGATCCAATTCAAATTCAAATATAACTAACTAGTAACCTTAGAGATAGTCGGTGGTTGAGCCTGTTATTTAATAATTTAAAGGTCTTAGGTTTAAGTTTTTTCATACCTATTAAAAACTAATCACTCTTATATCTTTGGGGACATACTCTAAATTAGCTCAAGCCACAGTACACATCCATTGAGGTTAAGGGAACGGTCAACACAAACATAAACACCGTATAACAAATTATATATATATATATATATATATAAATTAATTTACAATTCAAATTTCAAAAGATAAACAAAATAATTTTTGCTATTTGCAGCTGAAATTATTTTAAATTTTACTTTAAAATTAATTTAACGGTTAATATTAACACCCTAAATTTATTAGGAAAAAAAGTCCTTAAGGGTGTGTTTTAAGTGACTTTTTAAAAGTATTTCTAAAAATTACATATCATAAATACTTAAAAAAAAAAAAATAGTATTTGAAACCACCCCACCCCCACCAGTGTCATTATTGTTGTCGCTGCCACCAACACCGCCACCATCACTGTCTTCTACCACCACCATTGTCGTCTACCACCTTTCACCTCCACTACAAACCGATATTTAAATTTTTTTATTTCTTCTTTATATTTGTGATTTGATTTTGAATATAAATACAAATATATTTTTTATTTTTTATTACTCTGTGCCTTCAAGCACAGACAATAACTAGTATATAAATAAAGTACAATACAATTCAGATTTCATAAGATAAACAAAATTATTTTTATTTTTCGCAGTTGAAATCTCTTTAAATTTTACTTTAAAATTAATTCAACGGTTAATATTAACTCTCTAAATTTAATAGGAAAAATAGGCCCACAAATATGTATTTGCGGTAACTTTTTATAAGTGTTTTTAAAATTTTAACTTCTCATAAATATATATTTTTTTTTAAAGTAGTGTTTCAAACCACCTCCACCACCACCAAACTAACCTCCCACTACCATCACCACTATCACTATTACCACCACTGTCACCACCCCAACCACCACTTCTGCCACAACAACTACCGCTAGTATCACCACCACCAATGTCACCACCCAACCCACTGCCGTCATCACTATTACCACCACCCACTACCGTCCCTCACTCCCATTATCACTGTCACCCCACCACTATCTCTGTCATAACAACCACCACCATCATTGTCCCTTAACATTACCACTGTCGTCACCATCGTTGCCGCCACCCCACAACCACCACCACCACCGCCCCATCACCATCGCCTCCACCCACTACCACCCTGCCATTACTGCCACTATTCTACCATTACTTCTACCACCACTACCTCTATCGCCCCACCACCACTACCCCTACCGCCCCCATCACCACCATTGCCATTGTCATTGTCACCAGTCCACTACTGCCCACCACCACTATCACCCCCCTCACTCTCACGACAACCAATACTTAAATTTTTTTTTTCTCTTCTATATTTGTGATTTAATTTTAAATGTGAATACAAATATATTTATTATTGATCATTTTTATTATTACACCGTACCTTTAAACACATAATAACTAGCATATATATATATATATAGTTCTTTTTGTTCATATAAATTCAACCGTCCTGTTGAATAATTGACTGAACATATTTCCAACAGTCCCGGTGATTTGATTTCCATAAACTCAACTATTACATAGCAATAACAAAATTAATGGTGCCAAAAATATTATTTCTTCGAAAATTATTTCTCCCTAACATAATATAATTCATTGCATAGAATCTTTCCCCTCACGAATTGTCATATCAAACTGTTCTATAAAACCACGAAACCCTGAATAATCCATTCAAAGCTTGACAAAATGGCCAATTTGATCATGACAGGAGGAGATGTGGAAGACACGGTAAAGAAAAGAAAACTCCAAGAAGTAATTTTAAGTGATAACATAAGCTTGAGTATAACATCATCGTCATCATGATCATCCTCGTCACTGCCACCAATTTTCAAACCCAAACTTTCTAAACATACCCAACAGCAATTTCCTAATTGTCACTGTTGAACAAAATTTCTACAATGCCCAGCAGTGCACGAGGCTGTTACAAGATTAGATCTACGTAACTTTGCCTCGTGTATACAGATTACACGGAGAGACTGTTTCCGCATACAAGAAACGAAAATGAAACACAAAACAGATCAGAGCATCCAACATATATTACCATCTTTGCCACAGTTATCTACGTCGGTTCTATGTTGTCTTAAACTCACTTCTCTTTGGATAATCAATACCCGTATCATATGTAGAAAAGCGATAAAGATAGACATTGCCCCAATGGAGATACTTATGAATGTCATCAGACTTCCAAATTTTCCATTCCCTCCTCCAATATCATCTCCTTGTGCCGGCATTCACTGCTGCAAAAAGCTTTCTCACCCCTGGAAAAAACAGAAGAAGATTTCAATCTGAAACATGGGGTTGAAGAAGCTGACTGAAACTAAACTGATGGTGTTGATAAACAATACAGAATTCATCTCAAACAAAAGCATGAAGCATAGCAATAGTCACCCGATCACAGGCAAATTGATATCATTCACTAAGTATCTGCAAAATACATAAACAAGCATGGTTTTTGGAAATTCAATGGGAAAAGTCATGGTCACGGGTTCCAGTTATACAACTCTCCACAAGCTGATAAGGATGCACACATCTAGCCCTTTTCATTTTCAAGTAGCCTATCCCGATCCCAAGTAGTTGAGATAAAGGAGGGGGCCGAAGACCAAGAAGTGAGTTATCTATACTAAACATTCTTCTTACGGTTAGATCCAATCTCTTTGTCCTGCGGAAAGGAAAATACGCTCTTCGAAGAGAGGATTAGGAAAATCCTATTGATTACAGCTTTCTCCGGACCTCGTAAGTCGAATTTAATGTGGAAAGTAATAGCTGCTTTGATTAAACATTCTCTAGGATTTGAGGCAATTCCTTATCTTCTTAAAAATGCTAACAGAGAGATTGTAATGCATCAAAATCACATTAGTTATTGACATTCCAAAAGAATGAAGGCAATTTTGAGCTAACCTGTACATATAAATGTCATCTCCTTCCCCAAGCTTTTTCTTGCAATTGTGACAGAAGCTAAGAAAACTCTCAGAGGGACAACTAATTGATTGATTTGCCAAAAACCCATTTTCCTTTTTTGATGCAGAGAACTCCACAACTCCACAGCAGCTCTCCACTATGCAATCATCAAATATATGCGTTGTCCTCGGATTCGGACCATGGGAAATCACACAAGTATAATCTTCAGAAAGCTCCATCTCAGTAGCAGAGAGACACCCAGAAAAAACCAGAGAAGAATTCGAGTTTTTGATGCCAGAATTCGAGGACCCAAATGGGGATTTCTTCATAGAAGTTGCGGATAAGCCAAGTGAAAATGAACCCAAATGGGAATTCCTCGTTTTCATACCGAAATCTCCAGGAGATTTGGGTGAATCAGCAGGAGGGAGAATAGATTGAGACAGGGGAGGGATTTGAATCTTCAATTGTGAACCAAACAAAACCATTCGGCTCTCGGGTTTTGATAATTTTGGGTCAGATTTATCATCGGTGAGAACATCAACTAGACCAAGAACAACCCCTCGTGAATCCAATTTATCCAAATGGATTTTATTTTCTGGTTTTGGGGTTTTGGGGAAGTTTATATCAGGCCAAAAGGGGTTTTTGAATGCAGAGAAGGGTTTGATATCAAGTGTTGAAGTTGGACTCATCACAGATTCAGTGTCATTGAAAACTTTTGAAGTGAAAAATCTGGGAGAACTTAAGAAAGATGAAGTGGGTCTTTTGCATTTGTCTATTGGAGATTGTAGAGAATCATGATTCGCCATTAGAGCTTTCTTATTTGTAGTTCCTCTAGATCTCTTCCTCAGCATAACTTTTCCCTATTCTAATAAAAAAAAATGATCCTCCTAGATAAAAACCAAACAAGCCATATTAGAGAGAGAGAGTACAGACCTGAAATGATCAAGGATTTCAGCCAGAAACTGCCATGGTCTCTCTCTGTGAGTTGTTCTAATCCGCTATGACTTCCATTTTCATATTCACTGAGAAACATAGAGAAAATAAAAGCTCCTAATTTTTGCAAGATTTTCTCGCTCTTTCTATTCTCTCAGCAAGAATCCATCACCTCTTAGAACTGGACATGCAAACAAAACCTCCATAGTCATCATCAATATCAGACATCAACTGCATTCAAACAAAAAAGCTTCTATTTTTTACTATCTTTTGTTTTTGTTGCTTTTCACTGTTTTGTGTGTCGTTTACTGATATTATTGGTTGATTTATTTCAACAAAAATGGTTTTTTTATCACAAAAAAGATTCAAAACTCATGCATGTTGCCAAGACACATACATCAAAAGTACCTGAATAATTAAAACATGGAAACTATAATTAAAAAAAAAAAACCCAAATGAATACAAAAAGTTGATATATATAAAAAAAAAAAAAGAATACGAAAAAGACTATGTGGACTGCTCCGTTTGCTTTTTTACCATCTCTCACTATCTTTATCCGCCCTTTTTGCCTCTTTTAGTGGGTTTTCTTTTCTTTGCCTACCCACTACAGTTCAGTTTTTTCCAGTCCCTGAAAAACAGCCATGGAGTTGCAGAGATACAAACAGGAGGGAGAGAGAGAGAGAGATGGGTTTGTTGGGAGTGATCTTAAAGACGGGAGTGCATGGGAATCAGTGGTTTTAATGAAACTACCACTGATTTCTCTGTAGACCTGGCCTTAAATGGTAGTTTTATTCATGGCGGTTTTTACTAGAAACGATTCTCTCTCTCTCTGTTGCTACACTGATGTAATCCGTAGAATTGGAGTAAATATTGAATGCATTCTATGTGGGCATTTATTAGGATCGGTATCGTTAATTAATAATAAAATATTAAATAAATAATTTAAATAATAATTTTAAAAAATATTTAAAAATTATTTAATTATATAAAAAATTGATTATTAATTTAGTAGAATTTATTTATTTATTTAATATTATTAATTATTGACATTACATCAACATTATCACATAATATCACCGTTGTAATGAATATTTTTTCGTACAATTGGATTAATTGATTAGATTCCTAAATAAAATAAAGTTAATAATATCTTTTAAAATATATATAATTTTAATAGTAATTTTTTAATTAATAAGATAAAAAGTAATTTGTTCTCACATAATTTTAATTTTTTCTTTTTTTGTGTGTTGTACACTAATTCTTAATTTTCCTTCAGCTTCATTTGGTTAGCGGCAAAACACTGGAATAAAATAAAATTAATTTTTTGTATATATTTAATGAAATAAAATTAAAATTGTGATGTATTTTGTAAAACTCAATCCAAGTTATTCAATTGACTCGGGCTTTTAGATCATGTTTTAATTTTTAATAAATTTAAATATAAACTTTGATAATGGCAGTTATTAGATTTTAAAAATTAAATATAGTTTTTAATAGTAAATTTTAATTTATTAGATAAAAAATAATTTATTCGCATACTAATTTAAAATTTTCTTCCTTTTGAGCTCTAACNACCTGAATAATTAAAACATGGAAACTATAATTAAAAAAAAAAAACCCAAATGAATACAAAAAGTTGATATATATAAAAAAAAAAAAAGAATACGAAAAAGACTATGTGGACTGCTCCGTTTGCTTTTTTACCATCTCTCACTATCTTTATCCGCCCTTTTTGCCTCTTTTAGTGGGTTTTCTTTTCTTTGCCTACCCACTACAGTTCAGTTTTTTCCAGTCCCTGAAAAACAGCCATGGAGTTGCAGAGATACAAACAGGAGGGAGAGAGAGAGAGAGATGGGTTTGTTGGGAGTGATCTTAAAGACGGGAGTGCATGGGAATCAGTGGTTTTAATGAAACTACCACTGATTTCTCTGTAGACCTGGCCTTAAATGGTAGTTTTATTCATGGCGGTTTTTACTAGAAACGATTCTCTCTCTCTCTGTTGCTACACTGATGTAATCCGTAGAATTGGAGTAAATATTGAATGCATTCTATGTGGGCATTTATTAGGATCGGTATCGTTAATTAATAATAAAATATTAAATAAATAATTTAAATAATAATTTTAAAAAATATTTAAAAATTATTTAATTATATAAAAAATTGATTATTAATTTAGTAGAATTTATTTATTTATTTAATATTATTAATTATTGACATTACATCAACATTATCACATAATATCACCGTTGTAATGAATATTTTTTCGTACAATTGGATTAATTGATTAGATTCCTAAATAAAATAAAGTTAATAATATCTTTTAAAATATATATAATTTTAATAGTAATTTTTTAATTAATAAGATAAAAAGTAATTTGTTCTCACATAATTTTAATTTTTTCTTTTTTTGTGTGTTGTACACTAATTCTTAATTTTCCTTCAGCTTCATTTGGTTAGCGGCAAAACACTGGAATAAAATAAAATTAATTTTTTGTATATATTTAATGAAATAAAATTAAAATTGTGATGTATTTTGTAAAACTCAATCCAAGTTATTCAATTGACTCGGGCTTTTAGATCATGTTTTAATTTTTAATAAATTTAAATATAAACTTTGATAATGGCAGTTATTAGATTTTAAAAATTAAATATAGTTTTTAATAGTAAATTTTAATTTATTAGATAAAAAATAATTTATTCGCATACTAATTTAAAATTTTCTTCCTTTTGAGCTCTAACCTAATTCTTAAGAAAAAAAACAAAAAGAGAGAGAGAGAGAGAGAGAGAGAGAGAGAACAGAAAGAGAAAATATAAGAAACCTCCCTCTAGTCAAAAATTGATGGGCCCCAACGGTGAGGTAATCCAACGGAGTTATCGACTAGTGGGATCCACCAAAAGGTGGTTGTACTGTAATGGTGTGTACCCAGTACCATGATTATCAAACGCCAAAGTCATCGGTTAACGTAAACCTTGGGACCCCCTTAACTCGCAGTTGGAGTAGAGCTATGATTCGCTGCCCGGACCCACATAAAACATTTTTTTGGTTGTTGTGGTCAGGCAGTATTATTGGGTACAACGAGGTTCACCGCAAGGTGATTCCAACCATAAGATTAATCTTACTTGTAATTAATTAATTTATTACTTATAATTATTAAATAGATAATGAACTACAGTATTTATTACACCAATTTAAAATAATTATAATAGATTATGTCAATGGATTAGATTTAAGTATTATTCTTAGGAATATTAATTGTGTCGTGTTGTTTAGGATTCGTGTAGTGTACTAATCAATTCTAATACAACTCATTTAACTAGTTACATCATATTGATCTGACCTATTTTATTTTTGAGCCGTATTCATGTTGACCCGTATGCCCATTAATCAAAAATTTATTGCTATTATTTAAATCTAAAATTTCATTATCACTTAATCGAATATACGCTATTTTTTTTTATAAACTAAAAATTAATTTAACAAATATAATAACAAAATTGAGTAAAAATATTATTTTTGTATAAAAATTAGTCAATACTTGATAAAAAAATAAAAAAAATTTGATATTTTATTTTTATAATATTAATTAAATGTGATAATCGTGTTATTTATGTTTGACACTTGTCCAAAGGTTTAGCTGCTTAATTATGGGTCCCATCTATCCCATTTAAGCAAGAGTTCCTTTCATGGGGCCAACTGAGTTGGTCTTCTTGGAACATAGTAATAATTGCCATGCACTATAATTGAATTAATTACAAGGTGCTATGATATGTCCATATCTATAACAATCAATTGTCCACTTACCCACATAGCCCTGCCTGCAAGTCCTAACCTCAATCAGAAAATAGAGTAGAATTATGTTCATTTCATGTTTAGCAGCATAAAGGGCCTATCTAGGAATTACAAATATGTAATACGTATATAATATGATATGAATACGGTAATATAATAATTTTTTAAAAAAAATATGGATATAATTAGCATTAAAAAATATTTTTATTTTACTATTATTTAACAATTTAAATTTTTTATTTTCAATAATTCTTTAATAGTAGTAACCAAACCTTGGAACTTTTACCTAAAAAAAAATTAATATCACTTCATTGTGATATATACATAAAAGGAGATTGACTAATTAAGAGAATCAATACTCTATTTAACTAATTGGTTTGTTACAAGTATTTATTTTTAATATTAAAATGTAACTGATTCATTTTTTAATATTATTTTGACATGTAATAGTAGATAATACTTAATATTTTGACAGTAAATCTTTAAAATCAGATGAAATTTTATTAATGTTTTATATTGTATGTGAACTCGAAAGAGAGAATATATATTAAAATTAAAAATTGTACATTTTGCTTCACGTTTAAAAATATACACGAAATATTTTATATCTTATTAATTATTAAATATGTATGATGCGTATTTAATGCATATCTTCGAATATTTAACGAGTATTATATCTAATATAATATTCAATATAAATATTTTTTTTTTGGGGGGGAATAGAAAAATTTCATGATCTGTTTTTAGCAAGTAGAAGCGCACTTATGTCGCTCAAGTTCGTAATTCTGAATAGAACTAAGGGTAAACCCAAGTAAATGAATTGATTCCTTAACTTATACATCAGTTCAATTAAGACTTGCGTTTCGTTGGGAACTCAAGACCCACGTTAGAGACTTAGATACAATTCGTCCAAACAACTGAGGTCTTATCCTACCACACAGTCACATTTTTATGCCCAAGGACTTCAAACTCCTGCCCTTCCATTGGGAAGTCAGAGGCTCTGACCTACCCAAAAATGTTATCCTTAACGAATACCCGTGTTTCATAGGCCGACTTAGGATAGTGAAGAACCAATACATTAAGTAAACCAGTGAGAGAAGGCAAGTTCAATGTCTATTCAGTTGGTCTACTTAGCCTAATCAAACAAAAGATCAAGATGCCAAATTGGAAGATCAATAGCACTGCTTTGTCTTGCCCTTATTGATGTTACCTTGGAAAACCCATCTAAAAGTTGTGATTGATGTAAGAAAGAATTATAGGCTTGATTTTGTTCTTAAAGATACCAATCCTCCTTTAATTATGTTCTTTGACCATTTTTAAGAAAAGCTTAATGGTTCTCAAGGGAAAATAGGGAGAGCATAGAAGCCCATTGTTTTTACAGACAGTGAAAAGGATATCAAATCAAGACAGAAAACAAGGATACCACTTATGAGAAATCACTGGTATTTGGCACCCTCCAAATCATGGAAAGAGAGAGAGAGAAAGGAGGAGACAAGAAGGGGGCAAAGCTACACGTTTAGCACTAATGTTATACCGACTAAATTTAGTTCTAAAATTTGTCCAGTTTAACATTATTACACATTTATTTATTAATAGTGTAAATATAAAAGTGATGAAGTTAAATTTGAGTTAATAACACTTTTAATTTTTAAAGTATGTTTATTTGTTAATTTAGTCTTCATTATATTAAATTTATCAATTTCATCTTTAAAGTATTTAATCCGTGTTTAAATAATTTTTACATAGACAAATTGTTAAATTTTTGATGCAATGATCATGTGTTGATCATGTAACAATAATACCATCTGAAAGAAGGAAACGTGGTCACTTCTAATTAAAAAACTTAACGAATTGTCTGATTAAGGATTGAAGTGACATAAATTAAAACTTTAAGAACTAAATTGATAAATTTAATAGTTAATATAATGATAACAAACTGACAAAACGAGTACGCTTTAAGGATTAAAAGTGTTATTGACCCTAAAAATTTAAATATAGTGAAAATAGTCTCATTCATTCATTCATACCTAACATGAGGTGACATTAGTCAATTGGATCGGGATTAAATAAGAAATTAACCATCCACAGTTAATATTAAATCATCACTAGACTAAAATTAATTCAATCCAATCTCTTGATACCTCAACAAAACATACTTGAGTCCAATTTATATTTCTCTTTTTTTTTTTTTGGATTTAATTGTCAGGGATATTCGAACTAACTTACGCACACCTCGACTAATTCCCTCTTCAGTCCAATCAAAGCAGGCCATCCATTTACAACCTTGCATATAAGCATCAAGACGGTTCCTGGAACTTTCCATGGTAATCCAGTCAACCAAGGCAGTAAACTTATCATAGATTATTTCTGTCAGCACTCCTTGCTCCCCACTCCAAGTAATATAAAAATTAATTTACTCTTAAAATTTACGCACAAATCATATATGTATAAGTTCACAGTATTACAGAAGTTAAAAGAAAAAAAAAACAGATGACAGTGTGATTGTAAGCAATGGTTCAAAATCTAATACAAATGGATGGAATATCTTCAAGATCAGAAGCAATAGAAGGGGATAATGAAATATCAGATATTATCCTCAGGCCTTTTGAATTGTCTGACATAGATGATTTCATGGTGTGGGCTACAGATGATGAGGTGAGTCGTTTCTGCATCTGGGATACTTACACTTCTAGAGAACAAGCCTTGAGCTATATCCAGGACATTGCCATTCCTCACCCATGGTTGAAAGCAATCTGCCTCGAAAACCGCCCCGTCGGAGCTATTTCAGTGACACCAAATTCTGGCATTGATGGATGTAGAGGTGAGCTTGGGTATGTTCTAGCACACCAGTACTGGGGCAAGGGAATTGTCACTCGAGCAGTAAAAATGGTGGCTTCCACCATTTTTATGGAGCGGCCACATTTGCGGAGACTTGAAGCTCTTGTGGATGTTGATAACCTGGGCTCACAAAGGGTGCTAGACAAAGCCGGGTTCCAGAGGGAGGGTGTTCTAAGGAATTATCTTATCTTGAAGGGAAGATGTAGAGATATGGTTATGTTCAGTCTTCTTTCTACAAATCATCAGAGTGATTAGTTATTTCGTCCTTAGATAACCAGAATCGTCCCATTTACATATTTTTTAGATCTACGAACGCTATGATAACTTTGGATACGCATAAGTTTTACTTTTGTTATGTATTAAATTTGTTGATACAAAAATATCACATCTCATCCTTTCTTCTTATTCTTCGTACACATATATAGGTGGAGAAAAAGAAAGATTTTAATGCAAAATATATTTTTTTTGGTATCTCCAAGAAAACTTCAACAATTTATTGTCGGACTCAATAATCTGATTAGCCACAGGAAGAAACCTCCGGGCTCGTGCAATACCCCCACTAACCACATGCGCCAGGTAAATTGCAGAGCTTACACCCTGGGTAGGTGGCCCTAGGACTCGAAGCGGGGAACTTTTGGCTGCCGGGAGAAGTCTTGCAAATTTTGTTCAATGCCATACACGTACTGCCCGAACTTGTCTACTAATATTCAGCATAAATAAATTCCAAACTCATAGAAATTTTCTTTTGCTTTTCTGATCTCATCAGTTTGTAATCAACTATAGATATTCTTATCAACTAATTTTGTCAGTTGATAAGAAACTATACATAAACATGTCTCTAATCTCACCTTTATTCAATCCATACTTCCTCAAAAAACCTTCCTTCTGAAAACCAACTTTCTCTAACACCCTCTGAGACTCTTTATTTTCTTCTTCCACCAAAGCTTCTATCCTCTTCAAGTGAGGCATTTCTTCAAACACCTTACGGACAGCCATCTTCAGTGCCCTTGTGACAATCCCTCGTCCCCAGTACTCCGTTCCCACGGCATATCCAATGTGGGCTCTGTGCCGATCATTGCCCGATTCAGGCTTGATTGAAACATACCCAATGGAACGGCGGTCCAAGCATATGGACCGACGCCATGGATGAGGTATGGCGACCTCTGTGAGATATTTCAAGGCTTCTTCTCTGGAGGTAATGCTGTTCCATCTGAGATAGTGTGTTACTCTATCATCGCTGCCCCATGTCAGGAAGTCATCGGCGTCGGAAAGTTTGAACGGACGGAGAGAGATTTCTGAGGAGTCCATCAAAGTTCGCCACAATTGACGTTCTTTGCTTCAAGCTCTATAGGAGGGGAGTTGGACAACGAGTCCGGATAAGCGATTCTTCAAAACGATCCTGTTCCTCCAAACGTTGCAGTACAACGAGAGTGTTGTTCCGAAAATCTAAATTCAAATTGAATTGTATAACCCTCAACTCACCCAAATCCAAATTCAACTTTGACCTTTCACCCTAATTATTGCATACGGTGAGCCAGATTTAATTGGGTGTGGCCTAATAAATTAAAGGGTAAATTGTAAATGATACACTAAATTAGACTTATTTAGTAAAAAGTATACACTAATAAATATAGAGTTATTAAATACTTAATTTTGATATTTATTTGTATCAAAATACATAATTTGAATTTATCTATTTTTATTGTAATATTTTTGCCATTCGTTAATCCATATGTATTTAATGTACAATTTTTCTTTGAAAAGTGGTGCATTAAACATTTTCAAATTTTATAAGAGAACTTTATATATATACTTGTTGTTAAATCTATTATTTAAATTTTGAATTATCTTTTAATGCACATTGATTCATGTATTTTTTTTTTTTAGAAAGTGGTTTTATTTTAAAATTAATTTAATATCCGAATAGTGTAACAATAACAGTGTAATAACAATAATAGTGTAACAATAAAAGTGTAACAGTGTAACACTAACAATATAACAGTATAACAATAATAGTGTAACAAGTTATTTACACAAAATATTGTACTATTACATTTTGTCAAACATATAGTTTCATATAATTTCATTCAAAATAGTCCATCTTCGTTTTGAATTTGTTACTATTTACACAAAACTACTGAACACTGTTTTTGTTACAGTGTATTTGTTACACTGTCTTTGTTACAGTGTTTTTGTTATATTGTCTTTGTTACAGTGTTTTTGTTATACTGTTATTGTTATACTATTNTATATATATATATATATATATATATATATATATATATTCATATATATACATGTATTAATAAATACACATGAATCAAGGTGCATTACATACATATTTATATATATTAACAAACACACATGAATCAAGGTCTATTAAATATAAGAGATTTTGAATTAAATGACCCTAAAATTAGTATTTATGTCTTTTTAACTCACATTTTGTTCTACGTACTTTTTGTCAAATAAGTTTAATTAGGTGTACCAATTTCCAAAAAATCCTAAATTAAATAAATTTAGATCAATTAAAAGGATATTTCAAGCCCAGCTCATGGGTTAAACCCAATTCATCAATCTAACCCGATTCAGAATTTAAGGAGTTTAAGAAAATTAGAGCACGTAGAGAATAATTATCGAAATAATTATTCTCGCAAATCATGACAATCTTTAATTGTACTTACTTTTTGTAGTTACCCTCCCCGAAGGATTAGTACATTTACTCTCATGTTACCACCTCAACTAAAGTTCTGCATTTATAAATTATAAATTATCTCTACATAAGAGGGCATCTTTCTACACACCCCTCCTCACATAATTATTTCTCTCTCCTAACTATTATATATCTCCCAAAGCTCACATTTGTTTTTTTCTCTCTCTACTTTATTAATAAAGATTCTTTGATTACCGTTGCTGTTTTCAGAGTGGAGTAGTTCTTCCTGATCGAACCACTATACATCTGTGTGTGACTCAGTACTTGTCTTTTACTATTAATTGCTTATTGATTGCCTCATTAATTACCATAAAATCACATACTCGACTGTTAATTGTGTATAAGTCTGTTCTGTGCATCATCATTATATACTTAAATTTTTAAATATTTGGGTTGAACTCAATTTATTAGGATTAAAATTCCCATTAAAAATGAATAAATTCAGATTTGATTTTCAAGTTCAACAATTTGGGCTATACTCCCAATCAATTTGAGTTTAGTTAAAACAACACGGACTATAATTTCATTTCAATCTGAGTTAAACTCAAATACAACTCGGGCCATTTGTAAGGTTATACAAAAGATTCCAAACAGATTAAAACATAGGGTCCATAGTAAGGAGACTAAAAAGGACTATATCCCTAACCTCACATCTATTAAATGTATACTTCCTCATGACACCCTCTCTAAGGAACCCAAGTTTCTCTGACACTCTCTGAGATGCCTTATTCTCCACTTACAACCAGAGCTTGCAGCCTCATCAAATGGGGGAATTCTCTGATAGCTTCAAAAATAGCCGTCTTCAAAGCTATGGTCACAATCCCTTGACCCCAGTATTCGACCGCTAGAGTGTACACGACTTCTGCCCTAACCCCAGACCTCGTAGTGATGGAAATGTAATCGACCTCGTAGAGATGGAAAGGTAACCGATTGAGCGGTCATCTAAACATATGGATCTGCAGAAAGGGTGAGGAATGCAAGAGTCCACAATAAAGGCCAAAACTTCATAGCTAGAGGTGAATGAATGCCACCGGGTGAACCGAGTGACTTGGTCATCACTGTCATAACCAGAAATTGTCTTAGTTATACGCTCTCTGCACTTGTAGTTGCAGCATAAACTTTGATGCATGCAATCGATAGCTAGTCAATTGAATTGGTTAATTCAAAACTTTATAGAGTCGGAAAACTGGAACTCATCATGCAAGTTTACGCATGATTGCCCTTTATGAAATTTGTTCTATAAATTAAATAATTCACATTACTCCAAAGTGAATTAGAGCAACTTTAACCCTGTTCAGTAAAATAGTTATTTAAAATATATTTAAATATTATATTCTCTATTTTATCTAGTCACTTTTTCTAATTCACTCCAACCACGTTCTTTATTTTATCTGATTACTTCAACTAACTTTAACTAATTTTCAATAATATAATTCAAAAATTCAACTCAAAAGCATGTTTAATCATCAACCCAACCAAAATCGTACCATAATAATAATTCTAATTAAATTTTAAATAATACAACTTAATGACAATTTAACACTCATCCACTTTAAATAACAAAAATCAATTGCATAATACATCTCATAAATCTAAAATTTTTTCAAATACTTACATTAATATTTCATAGGGATCTAAATGTAAATATTCTATTATACATAAAACTAAGAGAGTTTTCAATATTTGGAGGATTCAAAATTTGTTAGGGAGTTTCAGAATTTGTTGGGGGATTTCAGAATTTGTGGGGAGAGGCGTTTCATTCATATGGGTTCTTGCGCCTCCACCCTCCATGGGAGCATATTAGAGAAAATATCCAGCCCTTTCCACTTCGAAGACTTCGGGTTCTTCGACTGTCCCTTTACATTTGTCTCTCCTATTGAAGCGTTCGAGGGTTTTTAATTTCGAAGATCTCACGGTCTCACCTGCAATTGAGACCCAATATAGTTATTGGCATGGAGAGGGGAGAGGAAGGGGGTTTCAGTTTTGGGTAGAGAAAGAGAGAGAGAGATTCATACCTGGTTGAAGGCGAAGACGATGAAGCCACATCACAGGAATACCAACCACAAAATTTAGTGCAAAAGAAACATAGCGAGAGAGACTTACTAACGAGAAGTAGTAAGCGATAATGAGAGGAAATAAAATAACTAGTGGGATAAAGGATGGACTCTTCAAAATAACTAAAAAATGACTTTTATCAAACCCGTTGGAATTACTTTTAGGACAGGTTCAAACTAAACATATTGTATGCTTTTTGTTTCCCGGTAGTTTCTTGATGTGACTTTGCGTGCATGTCAAGTAAAGATTATAGTACAAAGAGGCTGCTCGATAAGTTTTATTATTTTGAATTGAATTCGGTTTCTCTTTATTTAGTTAGTAGGTGTTATTTTTTTATAGTCACAAATTTAAAAACATGTGTTTGAATTCCTCATACACATTTTTTCATAACTTTTTTCAATTGCAGATAATCTGTCATAAATTCAAGTATAATCGTCATTAATTAGATGGGATTCATTGCAGAAAAATAGATCTACCATAGAACCATGAAGGGTGATCTTGGATTTTAAGAAACTATAAAAAAATATAGTTAGAGAGGCCTATATTCCAACATTTGTTATGAGTTCGAAATCTCGTCGTCCTAGTTTGCTTTACTAGAAAAAAGGTTATTATTAGACATCTAGATTACATAGAACAACAGCGGAGGTAAGAGCCAGAAGACAAAAACTAGCAAAATTTCAAAAATATTTGAGTAACGTCGTATTATATGCATCAAGACAAATATTCATTAATAAAAGTTAATAAAAATAAAATATAAAAAATTAAATTACATGCACAATTATGTGAAAAACCATTTAATTTTAAAATATATAGTAATTATTAGGTTCTAAAATAATAATTATAAGTTATAAATATCATTCTAGTTTGTTATGTATCTTTATGTATACTACAGATAACTCGCGCCTGAAGGCACGGTGCAATTCAAAAAATATCGAATACTAAATTTGGGCACAAAATAATCAAGCACTGAACTCATACATGTACTAAGTTAAAAGTTTAAACTGTCCTCATAATCCGTGCCTGAAATTCTACAATTCAAAAAAGAAAATTACATTGCTCTTGAAAACAAATAATAAAACACTGAACATAAACACACACGGAAATGAACAAACACTAAATATTAAACAATAAACTTGGACCGGCACTAAGTTGAAAGCCTAAATGCATCTTTTAATGCATCCGCATTTTATATAAATGATTAACAAAATATTACCTATATGAAAAATAAAAATTCTAATAATAAATCGCAACAACCACTTTTAAAAAAAAAAAAATAGACAAAACTCAAACATGAAGATATTATGCAACATAAAATTAAGCACTAACCATGTAATACAAAAACTTTCAATACCATATAAATATTTTAACTAAAATTTTATTTTTATTTGCTTGATAATTGGCACATATCTACAATCAATATTAATAATTGGCACACTGACACCCACCCACCCAACTACCCACACCTTACTCAAAATTGTAGAATTCAGTTCCCTTGGTCGTTGAATAACGCCAACAGTCTTCGTCTCCAACATAGGTCTTC